CCTCATGAGGCTCAAGATTTTCAAATCGATTATAGCATCGATAATTAAAGTATAAGATGACAACTATTATGATTTTTAAGCCTGCAGATTATCTTTATCCTTTGTAAAACTGTTTTGAGAAGAACGAAAAATAGATCACACACTTTTTGTTAGTTTGGTGAACTCATGAAGATAAGCATGAGGAGTCAAATTAACTATATAAAGAATGATTTGCATTAGTGCTTAATCCAATCGGATAGCTTGAAAAAAACAGATTTTCCGAGAAATCGGAATGCAAATTTCACAGTTGTAACGTGTTTTTTCTACGAAACAACTTTTTTTTCGAATATTCTTTGTTTTTTATTTTCAGGATGATCTCAGTTGAGTTCAATAAGTGACAACATTGAGTGAGATAAATCTATGAGGTCTTATTCTCATGTAGAGGTTTGAGAAATTTTATGAGGAAGAGAACATACACATTATTCAAATAGACTTGGAATAATACTGTAGGAAAATTCGAGTGAGCACCATTATTTCATGTGAGTAATCGATCATTTTTTTTTCCCTACAACATTACAATTGACATGAACATACGATTGATTGTACGAATTTGATTTCATTAAAAATAAACTGGTTTCCCGCTAACGGAACGAGATGTTCTTGGCTTTATGGAATTTTTAATGAGGACAACTCGTCCAAAAAAAAAGACGATATTGATTGTTTTTTGTCCTACAACTAATTTATTCACTACATTTACCAGTAAGTGATTTTTATAAGTTAGCATTAAACAAGTGAGTTATTGGATGAGTCAAATTAGTATTGTGCATGTGACAAACGAATTATTAAACGATAACGGCTTAAAAATATATCTATTATTGCTTAAAGCGATGTAAAATGAATCATAATTGATCTTAGAAAATCAATAATGTGATCGCTTCGAACTGTGTATTCTCTTCTTACTGTAAGTCGAATACGGTAATGATATCGTATTTTCAGGGTAGTTTTTCTGTTTCAAATGCTTCATATTGTGTGAAAATTTTTCCTCGATTATGTTTGTTTCTTCAAACAGTACGTACTGAAGCTTTTTTCTTCATTACCATCAATATGAAGCCTCTTTCAGTTCAATGGGTTAAAAATTACTGTATTTCCTATTTGTGTAAGATATAATAATATTTTTTTTTACAATAATAGATCATATGCATTGTATAGAGAATAGAGAAACAAAAAGTGAAGATTAAAAAAATAGTATTGGGAGTGATTCGAACCGCCCAAACGAGTGAGTTAATACGGTTGGTTTTTGAGTGAAAAAACACTCAGTGTAATGATGACTCATTACAATTTTAATTGAAATAGAGAAAAAAAAAATACTCTAAAGATTATTATATGCGTCGTTCATTAGCATGTTGTGTCAATGTCGTGACATTTAACTACCGTCAACAATGTGGGCACGTTAACAAATACAGTAAGTTTAAATGTATTCTATATTCGGAACTATTGGAAGAATTAAAGTACCGTAATC